TCCCCCATAAGCTCTCCAATTAATTCAGCTGTACATGGAGTTTTGGCCCTGTGGCTTAAAGGAAACAAGAATGGCCAGTCATGTATGGACCCTCCTTCATCTTCAACATGGAAAGGTGCTCAATTATTATTATTATTGTACAGGATTTATATAGAGCCAACAGTTAGCGCCAAGGAGGACATTACAATCACAATACAATTCAAGACAAGATGGTAAGGAGGGCCCTGCCTGTGAGGGCTTACAATCTGAAAGGGAGGGGCAAGTGATACATGAGGACGTGGCTGTGTGGGGATGAATTCTTTAAGAAATTGATATTTCAGGGGTTAGGTTGCGGTGGGATAGGCTTCCCTGGAGAGATGAGTCTTAAGGGATTGCCTAAAGGCAGTCAGTGTGGGAGATAGACAGACCGGTTGGGGTAGAGAGTTCAAGAGGATGGGAGAGAGTCTAGTGAAGTCTTGGAGGCGAGCATGGGAGGAGATGAGCTCAGAACACAAGCTCGACTGAACAAGGAAGTGCCATAGTAACTTTCACCCAATCAGCTACAAGAGAGGCAGATGCCTATAAACAAAGGGGCGGTATGCATGTGCTGATGTCTTTTACTCTATATGGCCACATAGCAGTGGTATCACTAGGCGGGTGCGGGGGGTGCAGCCTGCACCCGCGTGACACTGTTAAAGGGGGGTGACACCAAAATGACTGACAGTCATTTTGGTGTCACCCCCTCTGAAAAGTTGGGCACTTGGTTATGGACTGAGTGAGCGACAGCTGTACGAGAGAGGAGGGGACCTGGCAGCATACCTTATCCCACTGGGTGAACGTCCCCTCCTCCCTCCATCACCAAGATGGCAATAACAGCGTGTGACGTCGTCACGCGCATGCACGATGATGTCATGGTGGGTTGTCACTCGGTGGCCGCGCCGGATGACACCACGCCTTGGGACGCCCCTGCCACATAGCCATATTAGGTCAATTTAATTTACCAATCATAGACATGTAGCCATATAACAGATAAAGTTTTTTAGTCTCTTGGCGCTAATGGTTGCCGTCAAACAATCCGCCTGCTGTTTAGGTACTTCCACTCTTCACACAATCTTGGGGGGCTGCTCATCCAAAGGCTCTGGGGTTCCCATCATGTACATAGAAAATGGAGGTGGCTCTCTGTTTTTCTATGCAGCCCTATAAGGTCAGTGATGTCACCACACCCCTGTGCTTATGTCAAGTTGCGGGCAGGGAATTCTCTGCTTGCAGCTTATAGGGCGGCATGGAAGGAGCTACATTCCTTGTTCAGGAGAAACCCCTTCTGGGTTCGGGGGTGCTCAGGTTCAGCGCGAGTTTAGTCTGAACCTCAGCTCATACCTAGTCTCTAAATAGTTTGAATGGAGATTAAGCCTAATTTTGTTCTTGAAACAAAGGCTGACCATACACCTACAGATTCCTTTCACTCAGATTGCGGGCTGAATGGAAGAAACCTAACAAACACCTCCTTCATTCCTCCTTTGATTTTTCAACCAAAGTATGTCGGCAGACAGGGCCACCCACTGAGCAAATTCCGACCAGTTCATCAAGAACTTTGCTCAGCATCTTTAGGTTATTGTTCTGTCATCTCCATCCTTCTTGTCCGTTGTCTCAGAATAGTAACCTGTAAACATATTCTTCCCATAGATCATCAGCAGGGGCCGGGTCATAAAACTGGAGCGTGTGCAGCGCCAGCCGGACCAGACCGTTATTGCCACATCGATAGTGATCACAGGGGAGTACATCCCATCCTTTCGCATGCTGGCCTACTATGTAGTGCCCGGCAACCAGAAGGAGATTGTGTCCGATTCTGTGTGGGTGGACACGGCGGATTCCTGCATACGACAGGTGAGACCAACTGTAAAAGGAAACGTATGGTGGTTATGTATATATTCTATAATATTATTATTATTATTATTATTATTGAATCATTATTAATTATGGTCTGGGCTAAAAAATAAATTTTTCAGCTAAATATGTATGAAATATTGCAAATGAATGTTTTGTTATCTCATCTTCAGCCAACAAGTGGTGCTACAAGCTCCTTTCACATATTACCAGTTTACCCTCATCTATTTTGAAAAAATAATTGTTTCAGAGCTCAATAGCTCAAGCTACATTTTATACAGTAGGTGATTTGTCTAAAAAGTTGAGCAGACCCTCCATTTTAAAGAAGGTCTGGTTTAATATAAACATTATTTTTAGTGCATGTTTTCAAGCCTTTATCATATGGGTAGCTCATATAAGTACATGATCACAGGCATATATACCATTACTTATGCAGACATGGTGTCATGTTCAAAGTGTATCTAAAGCAAAAACTTATTTTTCTAGTTTTGGGTAGAGTGGCGGAGCTTGGAACAGCTGTCAGGTTTCTATTACTGTCTATGTCTCTGTTAGCGGGATCCTCCCTCTCTCTTTGTGCTGGTCCATTGTCACCAGGATAGAAAATAAAGTAAAACATAACGTTTTGAGCCACCAAACCTTTGTCCAAACAAATCCATTAATGGAAGTTTCCTCTCTGGCAGCTTGAACTGTCTGAAGACCCCAAGAAAATCACTCTGAACCCTCAGCCAGGGACACCAGTGAGTCTGAAACTCACAGGAGAACCTGGAGCCAGCGTTGGCATGGTGGCTGTGGATAAGGCGGTCTTTGTTCTGAACAAGAAGAATCGAATGACACAAAACAAGGTAGGAACGTCAGCAAAGATTAGGGATGATAGAATTCAAAAACTTCACTTCTAACACTGCATGTACATTACATACATCTGACCCTTGCACTCTGTGCATTGCATACAATAGACTACTGCACTATGTACATTACACACTCCTGATTCCTGCACTATGTACATTACACCCCCCTGATTCCTGCACTATGTACATTACTCCCTCCTGATTCCTGCACTATGTACATTACACACGCCTGACCCCTGCACTATGTACATTACACGCTCCTGACCTCTGCACTATGTACATTACATACACCTGATCCCTGAACTCTGTACATTACACAGTCCTGACCCCTGCACCATGTACATTTCACACTCCTGATTACTGCACTCCATACATTACATTCACCTGATCCCTGTATTCCGTACATTAAATTCCCCTGATCCCTGCACTCTGTACATTACATTCTCCTGATCCCTGTACTCCGTACATTACATTCACCTGATCCCTGCACTCCGTACATTACATTCACCTGATCCCTGCAGTCCGTACATTACATTCACCTGATCCCTGCACTCCGTACATTACATTCACCTAATCCCTGCACTCCGTACATTACACACTATTCTTGGTGGGTTAGCTTTGAGAATTGCTCCTAATGTGTTTGTTCTTGCCAGGTCTGGAACGGGGTGCAGAGGAGCGATCTTGGATGTACACCCGGAGGCGGCACTGACAGTGCCGGGGTTTTTGTAGATGCCGGACTTGCTGTGGAATCCAACCTTGGCCTTGCCAGTCCAACTCGGAATGGTAAATATCAGAGAGATATGGGGATGGAAATGTTTACTATGTGTATAGATGTAGAATTGTGTTTGTGAAATGCATAAGTATTACAGTAGCATAAAGTAGAACAGAGTGCCCATTGAAGAGATTTCTTCTTACTTCCTGACCCAAAGGCATGACAGGAAATGAGGGGAATTCTGTTGAGACCGTGACAGCGAGTCACCCTAACGGGTAGGAAGGAGCAGTACTACAGTAGGAGCCATAAAGGCTCTTCTGTATGCACATGTGCTGGCAGGGAGCATGCTGACAGGAAGAGAAAGCTGAGTTGGTGACTTATCTGTGTGTTCTACTCCGTCATTGTCCTATCAGCAGGCTGTGGGCGGGGAGGTGGCATCACTGTGTTGCCTACTTCAAATAGAGAAAGTGATGTTACCCTTCTGGCTGCCCTATATGACCAAGGCGTATAAATCACAAAAGTGGCTGGATAGAATTATTAATCTTGTAGCAGATAATATGGTTGACCTATTTGTATTTTTCAGCTTTATATTTAGCTGCTTTTATGAAGTTCCTCTTTAACTCATATTTTTTATACGTTTGGCGGTAGAAGTTGGCATTCTGTAAATCAGGATTTGCATTAAAGTGTTCCTAAAGCCCAAACTTTTAATATGTTTTTGAACATTTAAACCCCTTTCAGGTTTTTATTTCTATCTATGTCCCTGATGGGAAGAGACACCCTCTGGGAAATGCAAAAAGTTTCCCAGCAAACTCAGCAGCCAGCATGCAAAAAAAACCAACCTGTCTAACCACTAAGGTTAAAAACAGAGGTTTAGTTACACGTCTAGGTTTAGTTACACGTTTAACTCTAAACTATGAGAGGCTCCATCTTGGAGCACATGGGGCAAAAGATCAAATTTGGTGCAGGTTTGTCAGGCGGAAGCCCAACCTCCATTAAAGGCACAGGTACGCACAAGGGACCCCGCACATCACAATGGCAGCTGAGAACCCCCATGCATCACTGCATGCTGGCTGGTGAGTGTGCTGGGAAACGTTTTGCTATTACTGTTTAAAGCCCTTCCATGTGCACCTTGCTACATAGTTACATAGTTACATAGTATTTGAGGTTGAATAAAGACATTAGTCCATCAAGTCCAACCTATTAGGATCTCATTCTAGGAGTACCCGTACCCCTGTATATTACGGTCCCTTAAGAAATCGTCCAAAAGTTTCTTGAACAATTCCACATTATTTGCTGAAATCACCGCCTGTGGCAGTGAGTTCCAGACCCTAACTGATCTTACTGTGAAGAACCCCCTTCGCCCCTTGTGCTGGAATTTTTTTTCCATCAATTTTAGGTGATGGCCTCTAGTTTTTGTAACGGAGTTAATTTTAAACAGTTTATCGCTAATGTTGCTACCACCATTAAACATTTTGTACATGGAAATCATATCCCCCCTTAATCTCCTCACCTCTAATGTGAACATGTTTAAATTTAGTAGCCTCGTCTCGTAGCTCTGGTCCTCCATACCCCTAATTAGTTTGGTTGCCCTTCGCTGGACTTTTTCCAACTCAAGGACATCTTTTCTTAGTACTGGTGACCAGAACTGGACCGCGTACTCCAGATGAGGTCGAACCAATGATCTATAAAGTGGCAAAATTATAGACTTGTCCCTGCAATACATCCCCTTTTTAATACAGGACAAGACCCTGCTAGCTTTGTTTACAGCAGCCTGGCACTGCAAACTACCTTTCAGTTTGTGGTCTACAATGACCCCCAAATCCTTCTCCATTTCTGACTTCCCCAGCGGCATACCCATAATTGTATAAACCATTTGTTTATTTTTAATTCCAAAGTGCATTACTTTGCATTTATCGACATTAAACCTCGATAAATGCAAAGCTGGTAACAAATTGATGAGTGTGTTTGCCATTTGTTTTGCTTTACCCTCTGGGAAAAGACACCCTCACTATTTGTCTTGGTGACCTTTGTATGGTCAGGTAAAAGTGAGGAAAAATCCAAAATTTTGTGTTGTCACCAGAACAGTAATACGAAGGGAAATCATTGGACAGATTTTCTATCACTAAGGGCAGGAGCGTCCTGAGGCCAGGTGTCACCCAGAGCACAGACCGGGCGCGCGCAATGATGTCATCGCACATGCGCAGTCATCCTATTGACGCCTGCCGGCGGCCATCTTTGTGATGGGCGCCAGCAGAGAGAAGAGGGGATGTTCACCCAGCGGGATGAGGTATGCCGCCAGGTCCCCTCCTCTCTCCTGACACTGTCGGGCTTTCAGTCCGTAACCAGTGCCCGACTTTTCACCACTTTTCACTGTCAGTCATTTTGATGTCACCCCTCAAATGGTGGCACCCGGGTGCAGGCCGCACACCCTTTTGATGCCACTGACTTAGGGTTCTATTTATAAACAATTTGCAGAGCCATTCATCTTCTGAAATGCTGCAAATGTTTGTTCTGTGTGAATGGAGACAAAAATTAATGTTCTTAGTATAGTGACTGTAATATTAGGAAAATACCATATTATGGACACTAGATGGAGCTCAAGAGCAGCGTGGCCATAATGAGGTATTTTCCTGATATTGCATTCGACTTGAAAATATACAAAGAATGTACATTTTGCCTCCATTCGCACAGACCGAATGTTCGCTGAGTGTCGCAGGACAAATTGCTCTGTGAACTGTTTTTAAATACACCCCTTACTGTTGTGTCTAAAGGACTGGAAATCAAAAGAAATCTCTTGAATGGGACATAGAGGGGGGGAAAATCCTTCAAGGGGTTTCAAAAATTCCCTACTTCATCCAAAACGCAATAAGTTTTGGCTTTACTTTCAACACATGAAAATGTGGGTCACACTGCATTTATTTTGTTCAGTGCAATGCACAGCAATGCAGCTCTTGCGTTGTGGCGTGCAGCGCTGTCTTGCCGTACAGGTGCATTCTAGTGGTGTGTTGGGTTGCCCTCCCGCCCACCAGATAGATCAAGCACTGCCGCTGTAAGCCCAATTTCATTTTTCAGGTGCCATCTATATGAAAGCAGATTTCATGATAGACATACTAGCCAAGAGGGGAAAACCATTTTATGACTTCTGGAGGAAAGTGCACACAAGATAAAAAAAATATGTTTTTATCACGATGAGTTGTTCTTTGGTGGCTGCATTTAGTGGTCTGTCTTCCTTTTGCAGAATTGCACTGTGAAGAATCCCCAAGAAGGAGGCGCTCCGTGACCATTGCTTCACGAAAAACTGAAAAAGGTATTCATTTGAATGTAGTGGTCTACAATAAGTCCAGCTAGATGTCCGGCCAGAGACATCTGAGGAGTAGTGGTGGGTTATAAGTCAGGGCATATCCCTTATCACCCGTACATCACTGCTTGGCAGAGAGTAGACAATGCTGTGAAGGTGGGTTGTAGGTGTCAAGAGTTCCATATTTTCATTACTACTTGGCACTTAGCGGTGTATTTATAAAACTTTTGCAGTGAATTTCGCTTCGCGAACATCTGACTTTAACATTTGCACCGCATTGTGGCAACTAGATGGAGCTGAGGAGCATAGGAATTTACTTTGCTCCTCCGCTCCATGCAGTGGCCATAATGCAATATAGTATAGCATATAATGTCTACTTATTTTCCACCCGAGTGTTCCCCTGGAGCATTATTGTGTACTTCTGTAAAACAATAGATCTTGTGTAGTAGTTTTGAAGTTGTTAAATAAAGTTGAAACCTTACACTAAGGGGTGTATTTATAAAACATTCACAGAGCTGTTCATAGTGCAAACATTTGACTTTTACATTGGCACCGCATCGCATGATGGTCACTGGAAATTCCTATGTTCCTCGGCTCCCTCTAGTGGCCATAATGTGGTACAAATGTAAAAGCCAGATGTTTGCACCACGAACAGCTCTGTGACTGTTTTATAAATACTCCCCTTAGTGTACAGGTTTCGACTTTAACAACTTCAAAGCTACTAAATGAGATCTATTGTTTTAGAGAAGAATGTTGGGAAATAAGTAGACATTATGTGCAATGACAGATCAGCTGTTTGATAGATCAACCATCATTTTCATGGTTGATAGGTTGCCATGTAGATTTGTTTCAACTCATTCAATGATTATTGTGACAGCAGTATTGGGTCAGTTAGTCCCAGGGGTTAAGAGTTAGGTTTAGAGCCTAAGTTTGAGGTTATGCTAATATTTGGGGTTTGTCTTTAATGGTTGGCATGAGGTTAAGGGGAGGGTTTTAGGGGTTGGGTTCCCATAAAGTGCTAGGTTTAGGTATTAGATTGACATTTAGGGTTATTCTTAAACATTAAGCTGAGGTTAGAAAATTTAGAGGTTAGATTCGGCATTTAGGATTTGTCTTAGGAATTAGGTTGAGATGTAGGGTTAGGGGCTACAGTAGGTTTGATTGGATGCAGTTGCTGTTGAGATGACAGTTTTCCACCCGGCTCCTTCAATTATGTTGAAAAGTGTGGTGCCAACCCAAGGGCTTAAATTTCCTGCTGAAATTCGAGCCACTTATGGCTAGCCTCGGGTTGCTCGCCCTATTCCTTCATAACTGTAAAAAAGCAAGAGTGGTACCTTACTTCTCCAGCACAGAGTCCAACACCGGGATATCATTGTGAATAGGTGTGCTTAGAATATTCTGTTTGTCAAACCAGCACAAGAGTATTCGGATCCCAACCTACGCAAGTGCTGTGAAGACGGCATGAAGGAAAACATCATGGGGTATTCCTGCCAGAGGAGATCGCAGTACATCCTGGAGCTTGGAGAGTGTGTCCAGGTCTTCCTGTTATGCTGCAAGCACATCTTTGAGCCAGTAGTAATTCGAGGAAGGCCTAAACTAACATCTTCCAAGAGGCCTTCAATCTGTAAGTACCACTTCCTACACGGAATTATAGCCCATTCCTACAATTTTTTTATTTTTTTAAAGTAAATATAAACCCTAACTGAACAACATTTTATTTTCTTTGTATCGTAAACAATTGTCTTGTGTTTTTTTATCAACAGATACTATTTGGTTTTTTTTAACCTTTTGTGGCAGCTAAGTGTAGTCTAAGTGTAGTCTGCAGCCACTTCCAGACTACATGCAGTGGCGTCACAAGGGGGATGTGGCCCGCACCCGGGTGACACCATTGCAGGGGTGACACCAAAATGACTCACAGTCATTTTGGTGTCACCCCCTCTAAAAAGTTTGGCATTCGGTCTTGGACCGAGAACCCAAAAGTCAGGAGAGAGGAGGGGACCCGGTTGGATGAGGCATACCTCATCCCGCCGGGTGAACGTCCCCTCCTCTCTCTGAGAGGCTTATTTATCAGAGCACTGGTTTTTTTTATGAGCACTTCAGCAAAAATACACAAGAAATTACAAGAGTGGGCAGAGTGACGCACAAAGACAACACTTTTTTTTTTGTTAATAGAGAGCTGCCTGCGCTTAATGAATTTATGAACACTTTGTTTCAAATATGTGTTTAACACACTGACACAGGACGTTTGGTACTTTAGTAGTCATTTGGAGTTTTTTTAGATTATCACTTTGTGATTTACACAAACAGTTGATTAGAAGATTTAATTTTGAAAACATTTGACAAATATTATATAT